CTTTGGGAAAGTCACTCCTATACAGATTAACATCCCTCTTTTCACACAGATAGTAGTGGGTACTTTTTGCTTCCCGGGAAGCTGAGAATGTTTCTGAGTTGTTTATGCCCTGCTGAGGTAGTAATGAAACATGTCTAGTGTAAGGCGCATAGAGCTTGCTAACGAGCGGGGATACATATACATATATTTATTGTGCAAGTTCGTCACTTTGGCCGCCTCAAACTTCCCAACCACTTAACTTTCCAATTTGAAGAAAAATAACAGTGGTTCAGAATTATTTAAAGGGCGCACAGTTATATTAAGGAGTCTGAAGTCACTGTAGTTTAATTTTCGGTTTTTCATTAGTTTTGTTTAGATCTAATCTTGGGAAAGTCCGTCTTCTAAGACGCTCTTTTAAAAAAGTGAGACTTCCTTTCACATGCAGTGCGCATTAAACCCACAGTGACTTGACGACCAATTCTTTTGATTCCGTTGATCCTGAATCGGAAAAGTAAAGTAAAGAGTCCGTTCATCAAACGGGGTACCCAGCTAGTTCGTTGTATAAATGCTCTCTATTATTATTGTATCCCAGCTATAGACACCAAAAGATATTATTGTCAGTTTGTTGATGCTTGGGCACTTCATCGGCATTGTATTGTCTGATTTCCCGAAAACAAAGAATGTTTTGTGGATGCTTGACGGGTGCTCTGGTGTGGTTAGCTTCTTCTTTCCTATCAAACATCTATCGTCCTTATCTCTCCTTCATCTTTTTTGTTTGTTCCTCTCTTGCAAAAACCCCTAATCTTCTGGCGCTCATATGACCTTATGCAGTTGCGAGCGCCGTAAAACCTCTACTAAAACTTTTTAAAACTAAAAGAATGTTTCTGAGTATGCTTGGGTGGCTGGGGTAATGGTATAGGTTGGAAATCACAATGAGCTTGCTTTTAAGCGGGGAAATGCGCAACACGAATACATACATTTATGATCATAATTAGTTTACCATTCATCGTAGGTGACCTTCTTTGTTCTTCCACATGCTGTGGGAGACCTATCTGGGAAACCTTCTACTTTCTGCCACATTTCTAACCCAGATGCCACGGCTTGGGACACTGGTTCTTTTGTTGTTGTTATTGTTGTTTCTGTTGTTGTTGCATTTGTTGTTGTTGTTGTATTTGTTGTTGTTGTTGTAGTTGTTGTTGTTGTTTTTGTAATGGTATAGTTTTACGCCCCCACCAACACGATTTAGACATTTAGGAGACGAGCCTTGACTCAGTTTGTTTTGACTTGTTCTTATATTTGCGGCGACGATCCTAACATCAAGCGGTCACTCGTCGACCAGTAGGACAGAGAAGGCTTTTTTCGCCGCGGGAGCTTGAGAGAAGGGATTAGAAGATGTAGACAGAGTGAGAAGTCGTTAATTTTTCATAAAGCAAAACGTTAACCACCCCCCCCACACTTTCCAACCCAGCTGACAAAACAAAACAAAACTTCTAGGAAAAGGAAAAAAAACAGTCAGCAGTAGGGGATAATTATCACTGAAGAAAAGGATTGATAGTGACATATATATTATGTGTAAATGTTTTCAAGGATTTGTAATTTGCTAAATGACAGACGACCAATTACTTTTACAACTGAAGTGTTTGGTGTTTTTGTTGTTTTTAAATGGCGAGTCGACCAGCGAGTAGCATGAGTGCTGCTTTACCCTGACACCGTGAAGAAGATTTGAGTGATGAATGTGCTAGATCTATTGGTTTTAGTTGTGATTCTAATTAATCTTTTTTCTTCTTTTTTTTCCTTTGTTGGGGGGGGGAGGGGTGATGAACATGCGATCGTCAGGTTCAGTTTTCTCACCAATGTGTTGAAAATGTCCATAATGATTGTGGCATTTTTGCAGTGATACATATACAGTGAGGGTGCGGTGGCGGAGCAGTTAGTGCGCTCGTCATCTCAGCGGAAAGCCGGGGTTCGAACCTCGGTTCGGACACGGATTTTTTTTCGCCCCTTCCTGCCCACCCAGCAGTTATGGTTACCCGACTTCTAGTTGGGGAAGTAAAGGGGGGGGGAAGGAACTGGACACCCTACCACAATATACCGAAGTCCCAGGAAGTTGTCTCACTAACAAAACAATCCCCAATGTCCGGACCGGATGCGGGAACAATTTGTACATGTTAGTTCCTCGTGCGTATTCTCGTCTGTGGGAGGCAAAGGTTTCAGCTCTGTGCCCGCTAGGTGGGTGGGTGGGTGGAGAGTGGTAAACGTATAGATCAAAACAAGCTGTGAGGACAGTGCGCGCTGAGTGGGTGGAAAGTGTTAAAGGCAATAGCCACTAGATCTAATACTAATCTATGCATTTTCTATTTAGTGAAAGTTCCTCACTTTGGCCGTCTAAAACTTCGGAACCACTTAACTTTCCAAGTCGAAAAAATGAACGGCGGTTCAGAATCATTCAAAGGATGCACAGTTTTATTGATGAGTCTGAAGTCATTGTAGTTTAATTTTCAGTTTTTCATTAGTTTTGTTTAGACTAATCTTGGGAAAATGTGTCTCCTAAGATGCCATTGTAAACAAGTGTGGTTTCCGTTCATTAGCCATGCGCACTGTTTCACACCTTTGAAATTATGGAGCGTTCAGACACAAAAGCGGAATAGAGAGAGAATCAATCTATACATTTATTATATATCTGGCAACTTGGAAACACATGTGCCCCTTTCTCTCAAGACGTATTGCTCAATTCCAGTAGAGCGTAAATATAGTAGGACAATTACTTTCAGTTCATGTTAATGCGCCGATCATTCCTTTCATCGAAAGGGGGCCTAGCTAAAATAATAAAAGACCTTTATATGGCGCTCCAGCCAGGTATGAGGCCTTGTATAGACCAAAAGGAGGTCTGAAGAAAGCACACGCGGGTGGGTGGAATGTGTTAAACGTATAGACCAAAATAACCTCGGAAGACAAGACCGGACTACAGCAGCGATATGTTCATGAAGTATACTGACTTAGGGGGGGGGGGGGAGTCACGCGTTGACCTCCCGCTTAGAATACCGCGACTTGATTGTCGGTAGTTTAGCGGAATAACATCTCAATAATCAACTTGCTGGATTGTAATAAAAATGTAGATCTTCGCCCTATAAGAGCCAGTTCCACGTATCAAGATTTTAGCGAATTTTTATGGAGGAACAAAAAAACTGGTTAATGTAGGTATGTGTGAATGATCAACACCCCGGAAACGATCAAGCCCTAAAAGCGTATCATGTGATACACGATTTAGGAATTCTTGGCTTTACTGTCAGTTCCGTAATAATTCTTGTTGCGTCATCCAAGTTGTAACAATATTGAAATCCATTCCGCACATCTCAAGGTGAGCTAATTTGGAAGCAAACAGCTGAAGATAGCCTACGTCTAATGAGCAGCGGACTAAAGGCAATGCAGTGGCGGCATATTTTGGAATTTTGTGCCCAAATCTTTATAACAAACTCGAATTTGCATCGACAGTTCATAGTATTTAAGCATGCGTGTCGCTGCTTGTCTTTTTACGTTTTAAATTATGAAAAAACCTCACTCCAAAATCTATCGTCCTTATCTCTCCCAGTCCCATTTCTTTGTGCGCTACGCTCCAGTATCACCTCTAATCGTTGCCACTTAGAGTTATTGACTTATACAGTGACCTCATTGAGTTGCAAGTAGCTTATACAAAAAACTCTTACTAAAACAAATAAGTTCGTTCTCCAGTTGAGCACTTAAATCTAACATGGAAAGGATAGAGTCTGTTTAAACTGTTTTAATATTATTATATATATATATATATATATATATATATAATTCCCATCAATAGAAAGGAGCGAGGTTCGATGTCTGTGCCGTGCAGAAAGAATGATCGGTGGGACTCACAGCAGTCTCCTAACATCGATCTGCGAACTGTGAGGGATGATGAGAGGAATGAGGGGACGAGCAGTCTACCTCTGACCTTTCTGAACCATCAGCTGAGCGAAAAGAGCGTAAACATAGCAATTTTCCCACAGCCGAAGAAATCTAGGCGTCGACGGAGACCGTATCTCACCGGAGCATTTAGATCTATTGGCATACCGCACTACCGATTTTTTTTCTTTCTACTCCGCTTTCGATTATGCCTTTTAGATGTAGGTTAGACAGTTTAGGAGACGGTTTGAATTGAAAATCGTTTTGACAGCGATTGTGTTAACTGGAGGGGGATTGTAGGTGCGGGGGAAAATATACACCGCTTTGGGGGAAAGCGTAAAAGCTTACACGTTTAACAGTTGACGGACTGTTTTGTTTTGTGTGGTTTTTTTCGTTGTTTGTTTTTGGGGAGTGGGTTGGTTGATTGTTTTTTGGGGGTGGTTGTTTGTTGGAAGGGGGGTTCTGGTTTCTGGTCCAAAATCACCCCGGACGTCCGGTTTGTGCAAAACTGATGATCAAAGATTTCTTTCTTAACTCGAAGAATACGGAATCTGGCACTCATAATATGACCTTATTCAGTTGCGAGCGTCGTAAAACCTCTACTAAAACTAAAAGAAGTATACGGAAGACAATTCCTCCTTTGTACACAGACAGTTTCATCATCCAAATCTTCAGCATCACAAACCTCCCAATAACTCAGCCCCTTTACCATTCACCCAGTCCCAGATTTGCGACAGACATCGGCGATCATAGTTCTCCATTCATTCCTTTACTCGGATGCTCTTTAAAAAAGCTATGTTTGCCTAATCTTTCCCCATTACCCATTTGTTTAGGTTCTCTAAGTAGGTTGCTCTGGGCCTACCCCTGCCTCGTTTGTCTTCAATTTTGCCAGTGAGAGCTAGATGTTCAAGACCTTTATGTCTATTCAGGTATCCCAAAAGCTGTGCTTGTCGTTTCCTGGTTGTTTTTAACAGTGAGCTTCCCACATGGGCTTCATCAAGCACTGCCTCATTTGATACCTATTTGACATAATATTTGCTTAAAATAAACACCCCTGAAAACTCGACCTAACCACACCCCCCCCCCCCTCTGTTGTCCTCCCTCAGGTTCCCTCCCCTTCACCATGGCGCATCACAGAGGCCACAGACACATCCTCCTCTACGTCTCTCTCGCTCTCTCCCTGGGGCTGGCCCTGGCGGAGGACGCAACTGACCCCAGTGACGACACAGGCAGCTTTGATGACGTAGAAGCGGTCAGTGAGGAAGCGGATCTGGACCCTTACAGCATGTCTCAGGAACTGAACAAGAGGCCAAACGTTGACCCGTACTCATACCTCCCGAGTGTAGGGAAAAGAGCTTTTGATCACTACGGCTTTACTGGAGGTCTCGGCAAGAGGAAGATCGACCATTTTGGATTTGTTGGGGGACTTGGCAAGAGACAAATTGACCCTTTAGGATTTTCTGGGGGTATCGGGAAGAGGTACGACTCTTTTGCCTACTCTGCTGGACTCGGAAAACGAGGAATGGACAGTTTAGCATTTTCGGGTGGCCTCGGAAAGAGAGGAATGGACAGTTTAGCATTTTCGGGTGGCCTCGGAAAGAGAGGAATGGATAGTTTAGCATTTTCAGGTGGACTCGGAAAGAGAGGAATGGACAGTTTAGCATTTTCGGGCGGACTCGGAAAGAGAGGAATGGATAGTTTAGCATTTTCAGGTGGCCTCGGAAAGAGAGGAATGGACAGTTTAGCATTTTCAGGTGGACTCGGAAAGAGAGGAATGGATAGTTTTAGCTTCGCCCCTGGTCTAGGAAAGCGTGGTATGGATAGTCTAGCGTTCGCAGGTGGACTGGGAAAGCGGATGGACGGCTTTGCTTTTGCTCCAGGCCTTGGGAAACGAATGGACAGTTTTGCTTTTGCACCTGGTCTGGGTAAAAGAGGAATGGACAGTCTAGCTTTTGCTGGGGGTTTGGGAAAACGGATGGACAGCTTTGCTTTTGCTCCAGGACTTGGAAAGCGGATGGACAGTTTCGCTTTTGCGCCTGGTCTGGGTAAAAGGGGACTTGATCGCTACGGATTTGTTGGCGGCTTGGGGAAACGAGGGATGGATCATTTCGCTTTTACTGGAGGACTCGGCAAGAGGGACTCGGGCGAGGCCTCGGGAGACCTCGAGGAAGGGAAGAGAGGTTTGGATGCCTACAGCTTTACCGGAGCTCTGGGGAAGAGAGGGTTAGATCGGTACGGATTCGTTGGAGGCCTCGGCAAACGAGGAATGGACGACTTCGCTTTTTCTCCGGGCCTTGGAAAGAAGAGGATGGATTCTTTTATGTTCGGAAGTCGCTTAGGAAAGAGAGGGATGGACAGATTTAGTTTTTCCGGCCACTTAGGAAAGAGGAAGATGGATCAGTTTTCTTTTGGACCGGGTCTCGGCAAGCGAGGGTTCGACCACTACGGCTTTACGGGCGGCATCGGCAAGCGAGGGTTCGACCACTACGGCTTTACGGGCGGCATCGGCAAGCGACAGTTGGATCCCATGTTGTTTTCTGGTCGTCTGGGAAAGAGAAGTAGCAGCGAACAGGAGGAGGAGGATGTGAGGCAGGTGGAGAAGAGGTCAACGACAGAGGAACAGGTGAGCTGGCCTTTTGGGGATTATGCGTTATGGTTTTGTAACTTTTTTTTTTGTTTTGCGTTTGTTTTTTTGTCTTTGCTTTTGATTTTGGTGGTTGTATTTTGGTAACTTGTTTGTTTTGTTTTTGTTTTTGTTTTTGTTTCAGTATTTGTCTTTGTCTTAGCTTTTGTGTTTGTCTAGTTTTTGTAACTTTTTCCTTTTGCTTTCGCTTTTGTCTTACTTTTTGTGTGTGTTTTAATTCTGATTTTGTGATCGGAGATTGTCACATTTTGTCTTATTTATTGTGTGTGTTTTAATTCAGATTTTGTGGTCGGAGATTGTCACATTTTGGCTGCTTGTTTGTTTGCTTTTCTTTTACAATTATTTTTTCCTTTTTTTCTTGCTGCTGATTATTTTCCTCGGTTTTCTTTTTCTTGTATTATGTTCACTTTTGGTTGTGTTGTTCCTCTTTTTGGGAAAAGTGCATGGAGGATTGAGGGGGGGGGGGTGCTCAATAAAACAAGTGTACTGAACGGCTAAAATCACATTATATCATAACAAAAAGGTAAATATCGTTGTTCAGGGTCGTTATTTAGAATTATCGTAGCTTACAGCTCGGGTGATCGAGAAGTCTGCGCGCTGTTGTAGGATTCCGTATTATGGCACAGTGCCAAGGGGTAATTGACGATTTGATTTTACTTCAAAATCGATCCCTTCCAAGTAACCCACATCCCGAAATAGCTCTTTGATAGTTCAGATGGTATTGAATCATGTCAGACTATTGAACGGATAACCATCGTTTATATAATTCCTAAGAGATTGTGGTGGTTTTTTAAGGGTGTTTTCGGTAGCCCTTGGCCTACTTAAGCTAGCAGAATATTCTATCCGAGATTGGCCTCAAATTCCGGGGTGTTGCCGCCACTTGAATGGCCAAGCGGTGTTTATAAATTGAAACTCAAATCCCTACTTCGCGCATCCGTAAATGTGCATGGACCGACCCCCCCCCCCCTCATCCCCCGTATAAAGCATAACCTTCCTTTTGAAAGAAATATGAAGCATTGTTATTTCCTTTCTGATCGGTTGATAAAAGATTGTACGCCTTGGGCCCTTGTTGTGGAGAAAGGCGGGATACAAATGCTCTTATCATTAACAACTTCTATATTTTAAAGTCACAAATATAATAAAAGGACGACCCATCGCATAGTCTTTCCACACAAATGTTTTACGATCACGCAGCGGCAGATACATATTAACAACCACAACCACGAACCAACAAAGGAAGACACAAAAGCCGAGTCCCACCCTCTGCGAAAAGGCTTACATCAAAATGAACATTAATTTGTACTGCTATTGATTTTCTATCTACATACATAACACATCCGAATGTATCGACGTAAGGTTCAAAATCTGAGACAAGTGTGCCTGTAGTGTGTTGGAGATCTTTTATCTTATCTTATTGCATCTTATTGCATCTTATTGCATCTTATTGCATCTTATTGCATCTGATGTGGCATGTTGTATTATTGTCCGGTTTAGTTTTCTTCAGACTGCATTTCGTTTGTCACTAGGATATAGTTTGAATTCCTTTTATATTTGTAAATTTTTTTAATATTTCTGTAAAGCTACAGAAAATGTCCTAATGCGACAATTATATTTTATCTCGCCTTGTCTTGTCTTATCTTATCTTGTCTTATATTATCTTATTTTATTTTATTTTATTTTTATCTTATCTTATCTTATCCTTTCCATGGCAGTTTTCTCAAAATCCTTCACAATGCAATGATGATGATGGTGGTGGTGATGGTGGCTGTAAACATAATTTGATAATGATAAATATTAATAACAATAATAATAAAAAGAATGATGATGATGATAATAAAAATGAAAATAGTAATGATGATGAGCGCTGATCATGAAGCTGATGATGATGATGATGATGATGATGATGATGATAATGATAATAATGATGATGATAATAATAATAATAATAATAATAATAATAATAATAATAATAATAATAATAATAATAATAATAATAATAATAATAATAATAATAATAATAATAATATAGCAATAATAATAACAGCAACTATAAGAATAACAATGTAACAAAATAATAATGATAACAATAATAATAATAATGATAATCATAATAATAATGGTCTCTCTCTTTTCCCTCTCCCTCCAGTCGTCGAAGAGCTTGTGAGAGTGACCGCTGTGACGTAGTATCCCGCCTGATGGCCAGGGAGACAGGCGTGTGTGCGGGCAGAGACATCGAGAGACCAGGCCACTCCCTCTTCTCCTCTGTCTGTCTAGAGATACTCGAATAAACGGTTCCCCTCCTCCACAAGGAAAAGTGAAGGGAGTTCTTTTCAGTTTGTGACTTTTGCTGGCTCTTGTGTGCAATGATATCCTGGACATTACTTGCTAGATCTAGCCCCTCTGTTGTTGAAACTGCCTGTCGAATGAAAATCTTTTGAGAGCACACACGTATTGTTTTGGCTTGTTATAATAATAAAAGAAAACGGTTGAAGATTCTAATGCTCATTTCATTCACGTAAATTTGGAGACGAGTTCAGTGCGAGATGAAAGGAATGTGTTTGCTGGTTTGTTTGTAGACACACGCATATACATACATACATAAACACACACGCACACGCACACACACACACACACACACACACACACACATACATGCATATACATACATACACATACATAAACACGCACACACACGTACCTACATACACACACACACACAAACACACACACACACGTACACATACATACACATACATACATACGTACACACACACACAAGCACACACACGCGTACACACACACATACAACACACATACATTCAATACATGAGTGCACGCGCACACACACACACACACACACGGGCACACACACACACAGACACAGACTATTACACACACAGGTGTACACTACATACGCAACACGTACACACATACAATACACACACACACAACAACAACAACAACAACAACAACAGCAGCAACAACAACAACAACAACAACAACAACAACACTACAACAACAACACACACAGGTACAAAAACCAGAACAGTACACACCGAACTAGATCAAGCAGTACTTTTACCACAAACAGATATCTCAAACACAAATACTCACAAACAAACAAGTACCCCACAAACAAACAAAAACCTCACGAACAAACAAACAAACAAAAACCTCACGAACAAACAAACAACTACCTCACAAACAATCAAACAAATATCTTACAAACAAACAAAAACCTCCCAAACAAACAAACAAATATCTCACTAACAAACAAACAAACAAACAAATATCTCACAAACAAATAAATAAACAAATAAATATTTCACAAACAGACAAATACCTCACAAATAAAGAAACAAACAAATATCTTAGAAAAACATGACAAACAAACAAATATCTCAGAAAAAAACATGACAAACAAACAAATATCTTAGAAAAACATCACAAACAAACAAACAACTGACAAAACAAACAAATATCAAACAAACAATTAATACCGCACAAACAGATAGTACCTTACCAAGAAACATGTGAAACAACACAGCCTCTGACACTAGCACAAAGTTACAGGAGAGACTCCTTGAGGTCAGGTTCCCCTGATGACATCCGTCATGTGCCGACAGCGAGAAGCAAGCCCCTAGTTTCCAGGGCACATTTTGTTGTGGTGAAAGCATTTCTGAAACATCTTGGTGGAATCAGGCGATCGTCAAAATAATGAAATCGAAGAAAAACATTTTTCTATACTTGTGGCAATTTTTATAGAATTTATTTATTTTTATTTTTTTTGTTGTTTTTTTTTTTGGGGGGGGGGTTGACTCAACACCCTTAAGGTCCATTTAAAAACACATTTCTGTAGCCTGTGGAGTTTTGCTGAAATATGTCGATTTCAGGCACACAAATGTAAACATGCAGTTTGTGTGGACTCTCAAGTTTTGGAAGTTGACAAACTTTAGTGGATATTTTCTCGTTAATTTGACGTACCTCTGAAACCAGGCGACCCTCACCTCTTTAAATTGCAAATATCTCAACGTCTGTTTCTGATAGATGAGTATTTTTTTCATCGAACACAAGAAAAATGAACAAGATTTAAAATGAGAACAATAACTCTATCTGCCCAAAAATTGACGAGCGTCTGATTCCATCGTGTCATGACACATTTAATTTCTCCCCCCCCCCCCTCTCCTGGCTCTGCGCAAAGAATATTTCTAGAAGGAACTACTTGTTGCTGTTCCAGCCCTGTGTCGAGAGAGGAACAGCCACAATGATCAGCTGTACTTTATTCTCCTCGTAGCCTTCTTTCTTACCGTAGCTCTCATGATTTAGCGCTTTCTTCAGGTCACACAATAGTTCACTCCATAGAGAGAGACTAGCTGGGTTTCCTGTTCGATGAACGGACTCGAAAGCATAGATCGTCAAGTCACTGTGGGTCCAGTCAGCACTATATGTAAACGGAAGTCTCACTTGTTTACAATGGCGTCTTAGAAGACGGACTTTCCCAAGATTAGATCTAAACAAAACTAATGAAAAACTGAAAATTAAACTACAGTGACTTCAGACTCCTTAATAAAACTGGGCACCCCTTAAATGATTCTGAACCAGTTATTTTTTTCAAATTCGAAATTTAAATTGTTTGGAAGTTTGAGGCGACCAAAATGATGAACGTTAACAAATAGAATATGTATAGATCTAGATGTAGCGTAGACGTTTTCATAATATCATGCCATAGCAATAGTGGACCAACTTAACGTTATGTTGAGGCACAGTGTGATAAACCACCGTACACAAATCATGAATACGAATTTGTATCTTCTATTATACCTACATGCATGTTGTTGGTGCATTTCCAGTTAAAGATCAAGAAACATCTGTGTGAACTACGAAGATAATTGGTATGCTTCTGTCTTCAAAGAGCCACACAAAACAGCGTGTTTTTACGTCGTTGTCCAATGACCAAATCGGAAGTCCTGAGTGAGTTAAAATTTGTTTTGTGTTTTTTTTTAAAGATCAAATATTATGTTTCCATCTAAAAGGTATCTCTCTTATAATATGAAATCAAGGCGAGTCAGTGAGACACTCTATCTATCGATCTCACTGGCGAAAATATAAAGGAAAAAATAGGAGAAGTCTCCAACCACAAAAGCCCCAACAACACGATCGCCACATCTGCACAAGAAATAATTCTACAGGATTTCCCGAAAGCGTGAGATAATATCTAATGGGTGCTTGAGAACCCCCAAACTGGGAGGTGTCGTGGTTTCGGAGACACAGAAGGGAATGACAGGGAACACCTGAGACAGATGCTGTGTGGGTTCGGCTTTTTCCTTAAGATAATAATAATGATATTCCTACACAGTTCAGTTCCACTGAGCAAAATTGAATTATAACGAGCTTTACAGGCTTAGAGTTAGAATCTTATGAATCAGTGTCAAGAAGGGGTTTCAAAAAAGGGAAATGGTATTGGTTTAACGCCCCCTGTCAACACTATTGCGTTTACTTAAGAGATGCTGGAAGGGGTATTCGGTATGCATGAAGTTTCAGAGTTAAGTTTTTGTAAGAGTTTACGGCACTTGCAACACAAATAGGTCCTATAAGTGCTGCGACGAGAAGTGGATTATTTCCTACTGTAGTGGTGTTAGCAACAAAATTATTTTAGCAGTCTGGGCCGGAACAGAAAAGTGTTGTTTATTCATTATTTTTAAAAAGTATATAAATTATT